GAGTCATCTACGAAATCCCATGTAAACTCTGCAATCAAACATACATAGGAGAAACCGGACGCCAACTCAACACACGAACAATAGAACATAGAAAGGAGTGTGAGAGAGAAACAAGTCGAAAACACACAAGAGCAGCAAAAGAAGAAGCAGAAAGCACAATAAAGAAATTGGCCGTAACAGATCACTGCACAACAGAAAACCATATAATGGACTGGGACAACACAAGGATCATAAACACCGAAGATCAGAAATACAAAAGATGGATAAAAGAAGCAATCGTGATAAGGAGACGAGATAAGGAGACTGTTTTGCACATACCACCCTCTGTATATTTTATATCTCTTATCTTATTGTTTACTTTATTCATTTGTATATTTAGATTAGCCATTTTTAAATTTTACTTGTTCTTACATTACTGTGTTTTTGCACAACTCTGTTGCTGTGAAGCTCGCACACAAGAATTTCACTCACATGTACTGTACCAGTGTACCTGCACATGTGACGTGACAATAAAAGTGATTTGATTTTGATTTGATTTGGATGTGGGACCATGAACAGAGACGATGGAGTTTACTTATTGGATCGCACATGGGACTGCATCATGGGAGAGGGGAGAGCAGGCTGGGCTGGGCTGCAATTTTATTTTGCAGTTTGAGGCAGCAGAGGGTGACAACGTCCTCTGCTGCCTGCAGATTAACGGAGTAGGAAGTGACGCCACCATCAGCGTCAGCTCTGAGGATGTTTGCAAACGAAACATCAGCAAGGTAAAAAAAAAACAACCTTATCTGTGTTTAAAAAAGAACCAAAAATGGAATTTGAAAGGGCTTTCATTAGTACAGGTAACTGTTATACTCACTTCAGATAACTGTGGTATTGGTGGTTCTCGAAAAGCTTAGGTAAATAGTTTAAAAATGTTTAAAGTAACTAATTAAAGGCGTGGAACACGTAAAAAACATTTTTCAACTATTATTTCTGATAATAATCTGAATTTTTTTCACGCAGGCTGAACATGAAAATAGTCTCCTACACCTATCTCCTGCATTAGTTTCTGGTAGAAAATAGACGGTGAAACTCTAGGATTAGAAACTCCTGACAGATCTACGTGACGTTTGCTTTCAAAAGTGCGTCAGAAAACCAAACTGTTGCCCTAAATAGACTACCATTGCTTTTTTTTATGCAAACATGTTAGTTTTGCTGAAGCGAACTGGTTCTAATTGTGCTGAAGCACCCAGATGATGCATAGGTATCTGACTTCATGTGCAGGTAAACGACTCTGTTGAGCACACCGGTAACCTCTGGAAGCAACGAGACAGCAGAAGCGGTCTCATAAGATCATCGCCACAAAGTAATACATCAAACACAGACATACACATACGCCATCAAACAAGTCAAGTCAAGTTTTCTTTATTCAGAGCTCTTAGACCAATTCACAGAAGTATAAAACACCGTAAGATCAAATGAAAGGAGCACAATATGACACGCTAAAGCATAAGAGACAAAAACAATCATGAGAACAGAAACAAGAGACAATAACAACAGTAGTGTTAAATAAAGTATTAATTATAGTAACTCCCTAATCTGAAAAAGACTGTTGCACCAGTGTTTCCACATCATGACGGTAACATGTTGCACTGACAGGTATCGGTTAGATTTAAAACATTTTTAGAATTATTCAGCCTACAAACGCTTTTATAAATAAAATTTCCTAAGACAGCTTGTAGGGTGCTCACCGTCACATTTACAGAAGTCTCACTGTCACTCGTCCATCTAGGCTTCCTCAGTATCAAACACAGAGCATCACTATAGCAACCTGCAGCTAGCATACTACATTTCTTATAGTTAGTCCATAGGTGGGCCGTGTGCAGCGGTGTATAGGCCTTAAACAGGGTTATCTTTACTTTATCAGAACAAGACCCAGACTTATGAGCGAGAGTATTTTCTTTAGCATGTAACATATGGCATGGCCTATACATGTCATCGTCATCTCTCATGCCCTCTGTGATGATATGAACAAGATATTTGACTTTCACAGAGTCTGACAGATAAAAATCTGGAAACCTTATTTGCTTGTCCTCCCGTTCGGCAGGTCATAACCACACTTTTAGCTGCATTATAAACGATGTTCTACTCCAGAGTCAGAGTAGATATCTGGTAGCTGCTGTAGACCTTCTCCGTAAACTTCTCCGTCTATGTCGGGACGGACTCACGCATCGCCGTCATCCGTCCTTTCAAGAGCTCTCCTGCACGCTCGCAAGGATGGACAGAGTCAAGCTCTCTTCTCTAAACGTCCGTCCAACGAGATGGAGAATGCAAGCTTGTGATTGGTTGGGACGCCAGCGCTGCCATTATGCCCTCAACAAAAATAAAGAGAGCCAAAGATATCTAGCGGCAGACACAGAGCAGCTTGAAGAGTACCTCATGGAAAAACTCTAAAAATATGAACGTTTTAATTACTGGAGGAGTGAAAAGATATGCAGCGAGCATTTTATTGGTAAACGGAAATAACGGGAAACATGGGTTTAGAGCGAGGTGGCGAGCGCATGAAGAGGTAGAGAAAAATTTGTCTGTGTTAAAAAGTCTCTTAAATGCAAAAAAACACAATATAAATACAATAGTAAATGCACTATCTTGGGCCGGATACATGACAGGATACCCCAGAAAAGCACTACGCCCTCTATTGGCCTGGTGGGGAATTGCTTTGCAACACTCTCCAGGAGACGGAGAAGGCAAAACATCTCTGTCCGTGTGTGCGTGTCTCTCGCTTGTGGAGCTAACGGAGAGGTATAAACTAAGCCTAAGTCATCTGCATACATCAAATGATTTATGACAACACCACCAGCTGCACAGTCAGTCTTGCTGACCTTTAACCTCACTGGTAAGTCATCCATGTACAGGTTAAAAAGAAGAAAAGATAGAACGCCTCCTTGTCTGACTCTATTACCGACCTTAAATGGCTCTGAGATACAGGCCCAATCCCAGTACTCACACTTGCACTCTTGCGCCCTTCATTTGCGTGTTCCTGGCCAGGGGTGCGAGTGTGTAGCGTGTCCTGATTCTCAAGTGCAGAAGTTGACCACTCCCCCATTGCACCCTTAATCTGCACTTCACCCAAGTCCGCAGTGATGCGGACCTCGGGCAACGGTATTAATCACAAGTCATTGCTGCCGGAGAAAAGGCTCAAGTTCCTTTTCTGAAAATATGTCACCATCTCCTTTAGAGCATATATACACATGTCTGTACCAGGCTCACACTGAAAGCCAAACTGATTATCTGTGATTTTTAAAGTGTCTTTGTTATGGGCACCAGCCTGGCCACTTGGATGCAGGAGCCAGGATCACCCAGTCCCGGTGATCAGCCCGACAACACCCCTCCTCCTTCTCTCTTCCAGGCTGCTGAGGAGCACAGCTGAGACGAATCCCTCTGACAACCCACACCTGGGATAAAAAGGCTGTGCCTTCAGCAGTCTAGGAGGCAGCAGTGTCGGGGTTCTGCTGTCCTCCAGGCCTCAGATTTTGGTTTCAACCCCTTTCTTTTTGTGGCAGTGTGAGCGTCTTGTCACAGTGTCCCGATTGATCATGCGCCCTGGCTACTCGGCCAAGGGGATGTCCCTCTGGCTGACTGGTTAGAGCGCATGACTCTCACCCGGGAGTCTGGGGACTGAATCCGGCCCGGGCCCTCGTTTCTCCACCTTGCCACATTAGGATGAGTTTTAACTTTGGTAGTATTAACTCTGGGTGAGGAGCTTTTAAAGGGCAAAGCTCTGAGTGATCCAGAGGGATTGTTTTGAAGGTTAACTTGGTGGCAATCTTATTGACTCTGTTTTTTTTTTAACACATTCTGTTTGGTAGAACTTTTAACAGAAGTTTTAATCAGGTGTTTTTAAATGTTGGTAATTGATCTTTTAATGTTAGACTTTTTGAGAATTTTAGTTTGGCATTTATTTTAATAATGCTCACCATCTGCTTGCACTTGCTTTTAGAACCTTTTGACTACACTCTAAGAAATAAAACTGATAATTACTTAAATATTTTGGTGCAACACTTTTACACTCAAAAATAATAAGTAAATGCAAAAACAATCACATCTCTTAAATACACCTTATTAATAGATTAAATCCAACTAAAATGGAATAAGCCGTTATGAACAATTAAAGATGTTACAGTAACATTCAAAATTGAGTAAATACAATTGAAAATGTATGTTAAAACAACAGTAACCAAAAGTTCAAACTACATAAAATATTAATTAGGAAATGCTGAAATGCTTGGCACATATAACCTACACCATTACAATTACTTGTTTTTAAATAATGGTTCAATTTACTTAATATTTTAAAGTTAACTTAAGCAAAAACGTTAATTAGAATTAAGCGTATATATATATATATATAAATATATATATATATATATATATATATATATACAAACACACACACACACACACACACACACACACACACACACACACACACACACACACACACACACACACACACACACACACACACACACAGGAAAAAAGAACCACGTCAGTTCAACATTGTTCACAATGATTTATTTTAACCAGCTTTTTTGTGAATCACACATTTAGCAGAGTCCTTCTCTGAACACAGTGAGCTGAAATCTGTTCCACATTCAGTGGATAAAACTTGGATAAAATTTCAGTCACAACAGTCTTATATAATAAAATTGCATCCAAATTGGCATGCTTGATAAAACTGTAAAACTAGCATATTGATGCTAACAACAAGAAAAATGTACCTGCAATACTAAGAATAAAAGTGGCTCAAGTGAATGCAGTGCTTTACCTTTTTAGAAAAGGTCAAATGACAAAAATAAAATTAAGATCCCAAAAAAATATATAAATCCTGAAAAAAAAACATTTGCACTGTGAGTTTTTGAACATCTTATGATTCCAAAAAATTGGGAAGATTATAACTAAAGAGTGACCAAAAAACATCCATAATTTAAATAAAAAGGTTTCAAAAAGGATTGTGCTTAAAAAAAAAAAACTAAAAAAAAAAAACATACAGAAGATACTCTCCCATTTACACCTTAATGTGAATCTGGAAAGTTAATGCAAAACACAGTTTATGGTACAAACATTATTTATGAACAGGAATGTCAACACTATGTAATGCCACAACTGAACCTTTTGATGAGCATTACATGTCACTTAACAAGTCTAACACTTTAAGAACAGCCCTGTGAAATTTTGTCTACAATGAACAGAGGTCATTTTTCAGTCTTTGAACCTTGACAGAAAGGTTTCCTGTATCCAGCTCCGTGAACACTTTTTGAAATGCTTCAAATGTGCATTTGAGATTCTTGGGATATTTCAGATCCAGAGCATTGCACAGTCCCAAAAGATAGCAACAGGCTTTGCTCAGATTCCCAAGTTTGCCCAGAACAGTAACGCCTTCAATAACAATATCCACATCAGTAGGTTCACCTGACCTGTCTTGATTCTGCAGCAGGTAAATCTTCATCACCTCCTCAGCCAAAGCCTCTTCACCAGACAGCATCAGCACTGTCCTTTAAAAAGAGAAACAACTGTTTTAAGCTCACATATTTCCAAACATTGAAACAAAAAGTTTCATTTGTATGACATCACTGGTACTCAAAATATGTGGGCACTGTGCTCCAAAATCTTTGAGCAAATGCTATTCTTTTGTATGCTTTCAAGTGTTTTTTTTTCTTTAGAACATTATCTTAAAACATTTCTATGATCTCACAAGCTAAAACTACTAATATTCCTAAAACAGATTTATTGCACCAACCTCAAAGGTTTTGATTAAGGCACTTGGATCCTCTCCCAGATGGTCAATGAGACATCTGATGATGACTTTTGTTTTTTCTCGATGGAATTTCCACTCTGTAAAACAGGAAGTCTCAACTGAGGCAAAATTTGCACATTTAAAACATGACTTACCATTTCTAGCTTAAACATAACAATTTTTTCTGTTGTTGACCTGTTTTCACACCCACCATCAAGGTAAGAACACCTGTGGAGCTAAAATATTGAACAGAAACCTAAGAATAGCCGTTTTTAGTGGAGGGCCTCTTCAGTGCTGTGTTGGAACGTTTTTGTGGTTAGAAAATGCAATCTTCCTTACCTGAAGCAGAAGATTTAACTGTGCCCTGTGGTGTTGTCCAGCAGCACCTTTCTTGGCTTGAAACAAGGACAGGAGTATGAATACAAGTCCAACGATGACATGAACTTTGGTTCAAGGTTCAGGGTCGTGATCCTATGAAACTCTGCACTGACCTGGATGGGAGAGGACAAAAAACAAAGGACACAAAATCTGAAGGCCAAAATTATGATTCAATCAAAAAAAAAATCTTTAACTGGAACTACCATTTTTTGCAACCTGGACCTTATTTTCTAACATGCAAAAGATTAATTTACTCATCCAGACATAAATCCATATAAGTGGAGTTGTTCAGTATGCAGACTAAAGCCTTAACATAAAGTATTATCTTCCACTAAGCTTCTAAATTTTATGTTATGAATTGCTTGCACCATTTCCCTGTGAGATTGTATAATCTTGGAGGGAAGAGGCGGAGCCAGGTTGCCCTCTGGACCATCGTCTGCCAGGTAGCGATGCGAGAGGAGCACACCGCTGAAGTGGCGCACCTATTCATAATCGCATCAGCGGCTTTACAGAGAAAGCCTTTCAGCTCCTCTGGCAGCTCTGCTTTCTCCACCTTCCTGGAGATGATGAACGCTAGCAAGGCAGTGTTGTTAGTCCCTGCAGCTGACTGAACAGTGCATTGATGTGCGCGATCAGTGAACCTTGCTATCAGCTGGTCAAGTTTGGCGGGATGGGCCGTTCACTGTCCAACGACCTTGGTCATTTTGATGCCGAAAACTGAAGCGAGACTCGGCTGTAGAGGGGGAACAGGCGGAAAACTCTGGTCTGTGAAGCCCTAGGTAGAGACTGGCGCTCTAATCTTCGCTGGCTCTGCTTCTGCCTCAGAGAGGTAGGTCATCACTGCTGGGAACTAAGGCCAGATGGGATCTGGGCAACGAGAGTGAGCGTAGCCATACCTTCCCGCCAGATCATCCGATGGGGGTGGAACAGGCTGAGGGATGGGAAGTCCCTTCTCACCAGCTTCCTCCTGGATGATGCCAGGCAGATCCAGGAGCAGCGCACCAACAACTGAGAGCGGCGTCCTCGCCGACATGTGAAGGCCAGGGGTGGATGAGCGTCAGCTCTTTCACCTCCCTTCTGTCGCCAGGCTGCCCAGCTGGGAGGCAGTGGAGCTGCCACCACTGCCGTTTTCCTCACGGTGGGTGGAATCATCCAATTCCGGCCCACCATCGAAGAACTCGATGGCTTCTTCCAGCGAGTACCTCTCTCTTAGCGGGAACGCCTCCTCAGCATCAGCTTTGAAAAAGGCTGACCTCCGCTGCTTTTCCTCTGGCGGGAGGAGCTAACAGGAGCAGCAATAGGATTAAGGTGTGAGGACAAGGTCCGCATGGTGAGGACCAAGGCAGCCCACGCAGACGGCATGTCGGTCATACGACATGAAGTAGCCGGTCTGGCAGGATGGTCACAGACGGATGGTCTCCCTGGACATCTTCTGGCTGGCTGAAGAAAAACAGTAGAGCCGATTTCCTGGTCTCACCATAACTTATACTAGACCAGGGTGAGGCCCACACAGCAGGTGGGCGTGGACTAAATTACTTAAGTGCTGCGCGCACAAGGGGAATACCCACTTAAAGGGCTGCGCCTATACTCATAGAATCTGGGGTTACAATACGTAAACGTTTAAAAATATTAAATTACTCTTCACTCTTCAGTAAAATCTAGTCTGTCGTCATGTGCTCCAGAGTTAGATAAGTGAGACAAAGGCACTTTGCAATCAGCCCAGTCATTCTTCAGTCAGGTTACATTAGCTTAGCCTAAAACAAGTTAAGTGTACGGAAATTACTAGCATTTATTGTTCCCTAGGCTTGGGAATGGTTTCAATTAGAAACATTCTGGTTTTGATTCAGATTCCTCATTTTGATTCAAATTCCTAGCAATTCTACAGTCTTATGACAAATTAAAGCAACCTGGCTGCTGCAAGACCATCAAAATCACTAGGATGGTAGCAACATGTTTTTCCTCACTTATCTTATGATGGGGGATGTAACAGACCAAATTTTATTTACAAGTGTATATCTCTTTAAATGTTCACTTACTTTGGGAGACGTCAAACAACGCTGGCCATCTGTCCTTGATGTTGCTGACACTCAGCTGTTGGCTGATAATATCATGTCATGAGCGTAAGGCACCCCATGTCTTAAAAGAGCAAGGACAATTCAAATGAAGACAGGGTATGGAATAGCCATGACCACATGTACCATGTTTCACTTGATAATGTTTGAGTAGTGACACTTTTGATGACTCCTCATGTTTGCAGAGTTTACACTGCCATCTCATCACCTGTGACCTAAAAAATTGTCTCATAGTATGAAGATGACAGAATGGTGTATAACCATATTTACACAGTTTTTGTATGATTAACTGATTGAATAACCAGTACTCACTACCAATTCAGGTGGAGGATACAACTTACAAATAAGTCAACATGGAACAAAGTACAATACTTAACCACATTGAAATAATCTGAATCACATCACCACACTGTATAAATAAAAAGATAGTATGGTGACACTTGATGACAGACCATGAACACATCAATATATTTACCGAACTGAAAATTTCTCAAAATTTAGATTTGGCATTTGTATGACTAAAATAACCCACCACAAAACCAGTATAAATATTTAGGTGGTATCAACATCCATTACTCAGCTTGCATAAAACAATATCATATCATTCCAAAATTTAACACATCAAGTCCTCTGAGTAAAATTACCTGCTTTACTTTGTAGTTGATGCAGATTTTTTTCTCCTGGTGGTGAAGATGGGGCTGAAAATATACAAATCAAAACTTAATCATTACAAAACATGCCACTGAGAATCTGCCATAACATCAATCTCTTATAAAGAAATTTTAGCTTGGATTGAAATAAACATGTATTGATGTAAATTGGGAGTAACTATACTGGAAATGATGGTACTTTTGGCTTGACCCAAAGGACCAAAGCAATTTTTTTTTCCATTACTTTCTGGGATCTGAAAGGAAGTAGGGCCCCGAGTCTAAATTTACTTAAGGCCCCATAGTACTTAGGACCGGCCCTGGATGAGGTAATCTGCTGACCCGCGGTCCTCTCAGCGTTCTCTCAAAAACTGGCCCTGTTCGGGACAAAGCTGAAAGCAGCGTCTTATATGCTCTGAAAGACCCCACATAGAACAAGAAAGCTAAGCAGCATGATTGCTGCTATGAACCGTTCCGCGGGCAGGTCTTCTTAGTTACCAAAGCCATTGATGATGACGTCTGTTCATCTCCTCCTGAACAACCTGACAGAGTGAGTCAGGCCGCGTGACTACCGCAGCTCCCGCACCGCGACTCAACAGGGCAATTTTCTAGAAATGTCTGAGCACACCTGCTTTCACGCGTGGTTCCTAAAATGCCCCCGATTAAACGGTCAGGTCGCTGGTACCCGGACATTCCGGTAAAATTACCCGGAACGCAGATAGCGACTCAGAACGTAAAAGGATAAAAGGGCGCGGTTTCCAGCCGCCTTGACTGGAAGACAGGATAAAAACTTAAATTAACGTGCACAAACACGCTGTGAAAAGTGAGCCTCCATGACAAACGCTTTCTTCGGCACATGCTATAAAAGAACGGTGTGGATAAAGACGGCTAATGTAAGAATTGGTCACTTACCTGAAAACGTTACCGGATGTGTGTCTGTCCCGTTCAACGTGCAGAAAATCTCCCTTGATGCCTTGCTCCTTGCGCGCGGTACATGCCAAAGGTCATTAGTCTTACTCAAAGTTTGAAGTTGGTATTGGGGGACAAAATTATATTGATTTTGAACCATTAATAATTAAAGTTCAAGACAATGATAAGTATGAATACCAGTGTCTCAGTTATTTTGAGTACTTTATATGAGATATATTGAGTAGATTTAAATAATGCACCCTGTGTTTCAAATACAGAATTATTTCTTTTAAATAAACTTGAACAAAAAAGCTCAGTTCAACTGAAAAACTGGTGTTGGAAATTTAAACATTCTTTTCAGTATTTTCAACTCAAGATAACACTTTTGTGATTTTCAAAGATTTAATCAAGGTCATCTAACTTAGAACTATAATGATATTTACTAAGCCCCTGAATAATTTTTTAGGGTGAACCCATTTTAAACCCTCTATCATGAATTCTCATGCTACCCCTTCCTTCACATTTTAACAACACGGGGACGTAACAGTCTTAATTCTGACTTTTGAGAGTAAACTAGCTAGAGCAATGGGCCTGTAGTCATCCATGCTCCAGTAGTCGTGTAAACAGTACAGTACGTTCCAAATAATTTGTGATGCGTGGAATTAACTTCATTTAGAGTTTGGTTTCCTGACGTACATGTAAACTAGGATAAAGGCTCCCGGTTTATTACTACAGATTAATCTAGATGCACATGTAAATGCACTGACTGTCACTTAAAGAGACAATGTGTAGTTTTTTTCTTTAATCTCTAGAAATGACCATCGAAACGTTGTTGGAAATAAATAAAATGATGCCAGTTTCTCCTTCTGCGAAATGTTCCGTGCTGATATACCGTTGCCACGTCGTATTTTCCCTTCCAGAAATGCCCTGGAATTCCTACAGTGGAAACTCAGCTAGTGAGGCTTGATGTATTACTTTTTGAGATCTGTTAGCCTACTTTATGTTGTGAGATGGTTTTTATTTAGTATTAAACAAAAGGTTTAGGGGTTTGCCAATGCTAAATGTGTGTTTACTTTTAACACTAATGTCAAGGAATTGTAGCTACACTCCATATTTTTCTATTTGAGCCGTTATGGCTGCTCTCGTGGTCTGCCTGTATCTGTTCTGTCTACATGTGTGTGTGTAACCTTGGTCAGGCTGTGCTGCGGAGTCAAGTTCCTATGCTCTGGTTCGCTGGAACGCTGGCAATAAATCTTTTTCTGATTCTGATTCTGATTCTTTTTGCATGTTTTTAAGTTTGTAATTACTAATTGCACACTTACTGCAAAAATACATCAAATAATTCACTTTCCCCAGAATGCAACCACTAATTCACTAAATAGTAAAACTAAAAGTAATAATAAAACTTCATTTGCCTCTTCCCTCCTTGCCCAGTTTCTCCTTCTGCAAAATGTCCCATGCTGATACGGCTGCCACACCTTTAAACTTGGTAATCTTTCAGAAGAGTTTATTTCCCTTAAGTCATTCCCCTGGCCTGGAATGACTTTTTGTTTGCAAAAATTAGCAATTTTGAAGCAACCAAAATAAATACCAAAGTTACAGATTCCTGTTCTACCTCGCTGAGAACATGTAAACCGTTTAAAAGTCCTTCTGCACAACTGCTTGTGAACATGGAGGGAACCTGTGAGGGTTCAAAACTGATAAAGAGGTCACAAAGTTTCCTTTGCTAAATATTAAGTAATTTGTTGTGTTTTAGAGAATTGCTACCAAGATTCTATTTAAATAAAATAATTAATAGTTCAGATAATTAATGAATTGTTTACCCAACTGAGTCTGTTCAGAGAGCCACCTATGACACGTTTAAATAGTTACATTAATCCCATTTTTCACTGGTCCATCGTAGCTGCAGGCCACTGTGTTGTATCAGGTGATATAACCAAAGATGTCATGTTGGCAAACATACAGATAACACACCATTGGTCAGCCCACAGAAACACACTTACTGTCCTTCATTTTCACAGGGTTTTGCAGCCACCCAGTGTTTGATCCACTCTCAGGACGTGGGCAGGCCGAGAGGTGTAATTTTCACCCTATCTTTCTGAATTAGGACTCCCTCTTTCCTTTTAACTCGTGCACACACACACACACACACACACACACACACACACACACACACACACACACACACACAGTGAATTCTTGGATAATTTTGGTCACTTTTCACCTTTGGCAAACCAGTGTTGTAGAAATGACAGACAGAGAGCAGCTCTTGCTGCTGTGCTTCTGAGACCTAGCCTACCACCTCCTGAGAAATACACACAGTACTCACACACACACACACACACACACACACACACACACTAGTCACACAAATACACACACTTTTTCATACCACCTACTGGCAGTGAGAAAAGAAGTCTGTGCTTGCCCAACTTATTTTTTTCTGTGATAGAATGTGTGTGTGTGTGCGTGCGTGCGTGCGTGCGTGTGTGCGTGTGTGTGTGCGTGTGTGCGTGTGTGTGTGTGTGTGTGTGTGTGTGTGTGTGTGTGTGTGTGTGTGTGTGTGTGTGTGTGTGTGTGTGATTGTCTCTCTCCTTTATCTCATTCTCCCCATGCCTCTTTCCCTTCTCCTGTCCTCCTCCTCTCAGATCCTTCTTCCTCACCATGATTTCACAGACCTCCACTTACTCCTTTGTTGCAGAGAAACAAAAAACGAGGAGAAAAGGGAAACACAATCGCCTTGTCCTCTCTCTCATCTTAATAAGCAGCTCCAAGTTTGATAATTACACGTTCAGCGTGCCGCATGAGTTTCTATGCAGTGTTCACATCAGGGAGAGAGCCATTGACTCCGCTGTTGAGGGGAGCAACTATTAGGGATGACTGACAACTGTCCCCCTCCCCCTTTGTTCCTCCTAGGAAGCTGTGAAAAATAAAAAATAAAAAGAACAAATCCGTTGCCTTGCTAGGGAGCGTGTCCCTGAACGTCATGGTGTAACCATGAGAGCAGCCTGCAGACCACATACGTTGCAAGACCCATAATCCATTCCATAACCTATCGCCATGTGCTGCCGATTAATGGGGTTTCTGCGGAGCGAACGCCGAGGAGACGGCCAGGCTGAGGGTTTTCTTCTGTGGCGGAAGCAAATCTGTTTGGGATTTACGGAGTAACTGGTGTGGCTGACACTGAGACGTCCAACAAGCTGGTCTGATGAGAAGAGAAAGAGAAGAGCCAAAGAAAAGAGGAAGAAGAGCAACAAATGTGATGACAGGCAGTTGATTGTGTTTTGGCAGGGCTCCGGTTGTTGCTGAGGTTTAGAGTTTATTGTTTCTATTGTTTTACGTACGGAAACATCTTCACTCTTCATTAAAAAATCACATCTCTATTGATTATTACCATTTCTGGTTGCTCATAAATACAATTTGCCAGCAGCTCTTGGTGCTTTGTCTTATCTATGACTGAAGAAAAGACAGCGTTGTCTTCCTGTCTCCAGACTTAAGCAGAGACACACCTTATCTGTCTCCTGCACAAGCACACAGAAGCCTCCTCTGTGGACCAGTGCTTCACTCACCCATTATGATGGCAATCTTGATGATTAAAAACCCGTGGAACAAACTGGGCTACCTGTTGCCATGATGTCATGTCTGGTCTAAAGCAACTGCAGTGATTAAGATTTAAGGCCACTGGAGCCGTTGGTGGAAAAATATCAATTAGTCGGCTACAAAATCCCCATGTGTGTGGTGGAGGTTAGGCTTTGGTTCTTAGCAATCATTAAGAAACACGTGTAGGTGCCTATGTTGACTCTTTTAATTTGAAGTGTATGAGAAACACGTGTTTGTTGAAACCACAACTTGTGTGAAGAAACCGATTATCCCCATGGACTAAAAGGATCAGCACTTCTGTTCTTGGTTCTCACGTCTGGATTTGGATTTTAGTGTGAGCCAGGTAGCGTTGGAGCTGAGCCCAGCTGAAATAATCTAATCTCTACTTCAGTTAACTTTGGAAGTCACATAATTGTAGTCAAATGTATCCATTTCAGTGGTAACCAAGACTGGCAGGTAGTCAAAGAGCTGAGTGGGTGAGCGGTGCGTAGGTGACACACTGACACAAACAGAAACCACACATCTCATTGTGACAGAAGTTGAAGCTGAAACAAAACAAGCGCCCTCTTGTGGCCGGTTGCATCACGCAAACAACTCAAACTCTTTTTCCTCAGGTAACTGGTTAATAGCTTGTATTTGAAAAGGGCTCTTTAACACAATCAGTCACTCATCCATTCACACACTCATTCACACACTTGTGGTGATGAGCTGCAATGTAGCCACAGCTGCCCTGGGGCGCACTTACAGAGGTGAGGGTGCTGAGCACGTCCGCCACCAATTCCTCCGACCAACACCAGCAGGCAACGAGGGTGAAGTGTTTGGCCCAAAGACACAACGACTCCTACAAACTGAGCGGGGCTCGAACCTACAACCCTCTGGTTATGGAGCTGGGGCAATGCTGGGCTTCATTGTGGTGTAGCTGACAGCACTGTTGCCTTAATGCAGAAGGTCATAGGTTTGAATCCTGGCTAGCATGGGTGGGCTCTTTCTGGTTGACCGGAGACTAACTAGTCCCTATGTGTGAGTGAGTGAGTGAGTGAGTGAGTGAGTGAGTGAGTGAGTGAGTGAGTGAGTGAGTGAGTGAGTGAGTGAGTGAGTGAGTGGCTTATGTCACCATGCCCCTGTGATGGACCTGTACAGGGTGTCTCCCACGTCTCGGTGCCCACTGGAGATGGACACCGGTTCCTGAAGCCCTACTTGGCAACGCAATGAGAAGGTAATCCAGTGGATTGAATCAGGAAAATCTTCAAAACCTGCGGGACAGAGAAGCCCAAGAACCAGGACTGGAAAACGCTGGTTTGATCTATGGCATCTGGACTAAAGTAGTTTCATTCAAGCCTCCAGTTTTGTGTTTGTTCACATGCAAGGCTGTGGAGAGCTGGTTCCCATTGGGTGGAAGGCAGGGTACACCATAGACAGGGCACCAGCCCATCACAAGACCGCACTGGGATA